CGCCCTCTGAGTTGGGACAAGTGAATTGAGACACACTATTGATGAGATCGCTGTAATCGTTGGGCAATTGCACCAAATGGTTGAGAGCGTGCGGTTGAGCTATCAGTTTGGGCTGAAACTCGATGAGTGACTCGACTTCTGTGTTTTGGTTGATAACGACGTTCACTCGTGGATGTCGGGCCCATATCAGCGCCAATTGTCTCATAGACGTGCTTTCGAGCAGAACTGAGAACTTTGGGTTTAGACCCAAATAGTGACAGAGAATGTCGTACTCTTGAATCGGAGTCAAAGATTTGTCGCAATCTTTGAGTCTTTGTGGCGGAGAAACGTTTGTCAGGAAATGAAAGAATAGAGCGACTGATCGAAGAAATGGCAATAAATTCAGTTTAAAGAAGAGCTCCATTTGCAGTCCGTTCGGCATCTTATGACTGGTCTGACCCGAAGCCATCATCACATCTGAATAAAACGTTTGCAACACTTTATTCACAGAACAACTGCTTTGACTGTTTGACTCTTCCGTTTCCATCGGCTCTTCAGTGTATTCGTCAGTCTTTTGCGTCAAAATTATCTAAAATATAATCATTTTATTTATTTAAATAATTATCGCATATAATGACAAATAATTTGATGAATACCTGAACCATATTAAAGACGATTAAGAGATTAATATAGTGTTTGTCGGAAACATTTCCCAAAGACATTGAATTCAATTTGGTGTTAGAGTTGGACTCGTTGTCGAAGAGGAACAAAGACGGAGTTGTGATCACTAGTGATATGAGTAGAGATAAGGCGTCCAAATCAAGACAACAGTTAGAGCTAGAGCTGTGGTGAGCTTCGTTGCCCAGAAGGTATCGCAAAATACGGATGCAATGGTTTTTCATTACAGAATCGCTGAACACAGCTATACTGGAACCAATGTATCGGACCATAGCTTTGAGACAATTGTATTTACGAGACGATAGGTCTGAGAAAATGGACTTCCCTTCCAAACGAAGCATTCTCTCGATTGAGTGGAGAGTATAAGCGCACGACCAGTACGTCATTAAAGACACCCTATCGTCCTCTGGGTTCGGGTTCACCAGAAGGGAAGTCTGCGAGGGATAAACGTTGAGATGTATTTCCTAATTACAAAAATGAAACAACACTTACGGTATAGACATCTTGCGAGAAGTTCTTCATCACATCCAAGAGAGAGGTCGAGAGTTCTTGGCTGAGAACAGCTCTCTCTTTGTACTCATCGAAGAGTTTTTCGAGATATTCTTTGGCCTCAACGCTCACATTCGACAGAATCTCCTGCAGATGTGGTAGGAAACGGCAGACATACTTATCGCCCAAACTCTCTCCTGAAACAAACAAAACACTTTCACTTCACTGTGTATTAAATGAGTACAATATGTGAGACAAACCAATGAGTGACGAGTCTTTGAACCAAACGGGGTTTGCCTTCTCGACGATTGCGTGCAAACCCATCAACCAATTGGTTAGTGATATGTTTGACTTATCGGACGTTTGTTTGCTTTCAGAATCAATGGCCGGTATTATAGGTATAACCGAATTGGACAGGCATTCACAGAGTGGACATAGAAATTCACGTTTGTCGACATCAAAGCTCACGTGTCGGCCATAACGGATGGGACGACGTCTTTCTTTTGCCAAAACCGAGTCAAAGAAGTTTTGCCAACAGTCGCTATGCATAACATGACCACAAGTGCTAATATGCGGTCCAAAGTAGAGGTCAGAGGTGACGAACAATGGGTCGATATTATCGCTATCGTTCCACAGCTTCCTGTCTCTATTCTTCGACAAAACAGTCGACCTCTGGATAAATGCCGATAACACTAAACAGCGACCATTTATAGAGACGTCCTGTTCTTCGCGACACAGAATACAAGTGTGGCGTTCAGTGGAAAACGATTTCCCTCTTTGGTTCTCTCCCACAGCAATGGGTTCGACAACATTTGGCTCGACTGTCAAATCCATGAGTGAATCCGAGTTGGAAACGCCTGCATCGCAATCCTTGAAGAAGTCGGCGTTTTCTGCGATAAAACTCTTCTGAAGAGCAGACATCTGAGCCATTATTCTCTCCCGTCGTTTGGCCGCCAATTCCGCGTTCTTTTTGCGGTCGTGTTTGGTCTTTGCGGACGAATTACTCTCACTTTTATCACTCGTTTCATCCATTTTCTGATCCTTCAAAACAAATTCTGTTTTCTTTGTCGCCAAGACTTCGTTGAATTGCTTTAAAATCCATTTCAATAAGTCTTTGTGAATATCTATTCGCGAAACAATGGGTCGATTCAAACACTCTTCGAGTAACTGAAGGATTCCTTTCTCAACGCATTTTTGTGCGAAATTAAAGTCAGGAATCGTTGCTTTGGTTTCTTCATGCAATCCGACGCCTATTATGTGTAAGACTTTCTCGAACTGAGTCTCGGAGAAGGAGACGGCGTGAAGATTACACGTCCTCTTCAGCACTATTCCGATCACATGAAGCATAACATCGCAATCGATTAACTGAGTTATGGCTGCGAATTGTGGCGCAAAATCCGGAGGAATGGGTGGCGGACAGCACGTCAGCTCCTCTTCCTTCTGTTTCTTGCGTTTCATTTGCGTCTCTTCGGCGCACGACTGGTCCTGACGTGAGTAGTGATAGAAGAATGGATTGAAATCTTTGTAGTATTCGGGTTTGAGTTCGTATTTGCCAGTTGTCGGGGTGTTTGGTCTCCGGAAAGTCGCCACTTCTTTGATTATGTCTTCAATACTGCAGTCGTAAGGAATCGTCTCCTTTGGTAACAAGTATTTCACGAGTTCTGAGTGAGTCATAGGAGCCATTGACAGCCATTGGATTATCTCTTTTTTAATCCTCTCTTCGAGAGTCACTTTCCCCACTCCGGGAACATATCGTTCGGATATAATAATAAGAATGAGTCCCAAGAACTCTTCGACCAATGAAATGGTTTGCCGGACGTAATCCTCTTCGGGCTTTCGGTTGACGCCCTCATAGTTATCCTGAGCCCAGAATAGGAGACTAAACTTATTGAGGACATGGATTAAGTATTCGTTGGGTTCACAGCGCGCGGCACCGATCTGTAGCATCAGTATGTCTCTGTCGTACATCTCGTCCCGCAGTTTCACGTTATGATAGAAGTAGACCTGATTTACCAGCGAATACCCGTTCCGGCGCCACATCCCGGCCCTGAACTGAGCGATCATTACTTGCGTTCTGAGCGGCAATTCAATCAACTGAACGGGAGTCGGCTTTTTGCCGCAAATGAAATTCGGTTCGTTATAATTCAAGTCATACTTTCCTAACTGTAGGAGAAGTCCGGCCACGAGTCGTGAAAACGGCAAATGAATGGTTACCGGCATTGAGGACACGTCGTAATCGAGACAATCAGCGCGATATCCACATAATTCCCATTCACTTGTCACACAATTGCTTATAAATTCTGCCAATTCTTTGAGAGTATAGTTTAAGGACTTGATTAGAGTTTCGCGGTCTGAAGAGCACCATTCAATGACTAGTCCCACAATTGGCGCTAATCTTAGCTGCAAATTAACGCCCGTTTCCCACTCGGCCTCAAACTCTACGTGTTGGCCCACTTGTCGGACCACAGCGTCCATGCCTTGCATCCACTTTAACATATCGACCAAAGTATGCAAACCCAGCAAAAAGTTTTTCCTCAAATCATCGCTCCATTCGACGGGTTTGACGGATAGGATGTACTTGAGGTCAAAGAGGATATAATGGGCTCTTCGGAAGATAGCGATCGCCGATTGGTTGCGCTCGAAGGCTAGCTTTCCGTCGTGGTTGCGATGACGTCCGCATTCGTGCAGAAAAGTCTTCAGCAAAACCACAATCACATTCTCTTCCGCTATCAACGCCTGTGCCAGCGATGGGACGGTAAACAATTGCACCGATAGGGACGTGATTGACATACTGTGGTCGTGATCGTCCACAATAAAGTCGGTCATCAATTGCCCATAATTTCTGATAAACAGTTTCGCGAACTCTTTCTTACTCTTACTCTCCATTAAGAGTCCACTAATGAAGAGTTGGTGCCATTGATTGCGCATTGATTTCCATAACTGTGTGTCGGCTTTCATAATCAGCTCTAAGAGCGGTGATTCGGATGAAGACCCCTCGACGTTAACCATGTCTTTGGACATCAAGACTTCGGCCAAAATATATCTAAAAGCCTCGCAATAGCCGAGTATTTCTTGTAACCAATTGAGGAGTCGAGTGGCAAAGGTCTGATGCGCGACAACACTCGTGTGCATTACATCGACTCTCAATGGTTTGCTTCCATGTCTTGACGTGATCTTCTCGATGGCCACTTTCACTTGACTGCAGACCTGCGACTGCGAGCACTTGACTATACTTCGGCCCTCTCTGTCAATAGTTGTCGCGTATTCTATGGCTTCTTTGGGCAAACAATCGATAGCTCGACTCAATGTGTTGATCACCTGTTCATAGGTGTGGATCTCATCGTTGAAAAGCATTGTCACGAATGTGTCCGCCTGTTCAGCGCCGCTCGACTCGTCATCCCTATAGACTAAGTCTTCGGGAAGTCTTGAGGCCTGATTCCACGTCAGGATTTCGAAACAATAGCTCAACACAGCTTTGAATACAAGTCGCGTTTTGTCGATCAGATCCGAGTATTGCGGCGGAACTCGCGCCAACACATCATTTAAGTCGCTGTCCTGTCATTCATTGGTTTAGCAATTAATTCAATATACGATACAATTGTATGAATACACTTACCCCTGGATTCACGGTTTGATTATGAATATCACAAAAAGGGTTTGATTTCCAGGCCTCTGAACAAATGTAACGGTAATAATGAGACAATTAATACAAAATGCGAGAGTTTGTGGACAATGAGGAATGGATGCAAACCTTTGTCACCGCAGTCACAGAAACCTGACCCCCCGTTAGAAGTGCCCATTTTGTAGCGATGGCTCTTATGAGTGCTGTTTGGGGCGTAAAAATGAATGAATGGTCAACACAAACGTCAAGAAATCAAGTGAATGGCAGACCTGTTGCGAAAGCAGTCGACACAGAGGACGCACGTGGGGTCTAACCCGCAGTCGCGACACGAATACGTGGGTTCGCCTGACTTGAAGATACGGCCGCAAAGAGTGGGCGGATCTGCCATTTGGTTGAGCACTGAGAAGATGGTCTGCGGACTCCTTACGCCAGTGATGAACCGCTCCAACGGTGCGATCAACTGATTGCGGGCCTCCATCTCGTTGTAGTGGATGTTCAGACAGTCCGAGTCGATGGCGGGCGAGAAGAGTGTGGGAACCGTTCGCGACCAATGGCTCCGGAAGTCTTTGACGGCCAGCACACGACTCTCGTGTCGTTTGAGCCATTGTTGACTGAATTCATCGCAAGTATTATGTGTCGAGACGTCGGAAATGAACTCATTTTCACACATTTCTGACGGCTTTTCAGTCCTTCAGTGCCAACACATTGCAAACCAAACGCACCATTCATTAGTCATTTATTTTGCAATTCAAGTATCGATTCATTGCTACAAAACATATGATTTTGCCTTCAAATCCAGTCTAATGACTACACGTGCGAAGACATAATCATATGGTTTGCCATCAATTGAATCAATGGTTACTTACATTCAAACCATATATCGAT